TATATATATATATATATATATATATATATATATATATATATATATATATATATATATATATATAATGCCATTACTGAGCCCACATTGTTTAGAACACAAAGGTTTGGGCCATGGATTTGGTCCACCAAAGACCGGTCTGCCAGTGCCTACTAGTATCAACTAGAGAGAAAATAATTAAGCATAACAATAAAGTGATGGATGATACATCATCATTTTCTATTGTCATTGTTCAATAATAATTGAACACAACCATAGCAGGTTTTCTCAAAATATATAGATCAAAATTTTGGAGTCAATAATAATTTTTTTGTCTTAAAATTTTCTTAATTTTCGTTTAGAATCACTCAAACTCTAATACAAATTTAGAATAAAGTTACAAAACCTTCAAACTTATGAAAAAAGTATTAATTATTATTGATGAGGATTGGAACTAATTAATACTCGATGACTGCGTTTTTATCAGGGTTACAATATGTTAGATTAGTTTTACAAAAATTAGATGTCTATTCAAGAACCCTAATATACCTTTTTTTATTATTATTCTATTATAATAAAGTGATAGGTGAAATATTCATCCTAATCACAACTCGACATGTATCAACATAGTTAGCAATGGGAAAGTCGGGTCCTGGTCAATGATTAGACTACGTGGACAATAGTCTAAAAAAATTATTTCGTCAAAATCGTAGAATGAGTGATATTTCACCCATATCGTAGAATATTTTCTCCAATTAAACCCACTATAAGTGGTAACCTGATCATCATAAAATTAATGACACCACTTACCCTTGTGAGTAAGAGGGGATAATTGAGCTACAAGAGGAGAATGTTAGAATGTTAGAAACCTAGAAAAAGGGCAAAGAGGATAGCCTTCTTATATTGATAAATATCAAAAAAGTCAGATGATACATATTTAAGTCTAACACATGATATTATATTTGAGTCTAACCTGCAATCTAATAGTTTAAGTTTTTGAATTGAATTGATATCTAATTCAATATATGATAATCTGATGATTAGTCTGACTCATTTCCAATATATCTCTCCATCATTATCATTTTTCTAAATATGCATGGTATTTAACTCATTATATTCTAGCAAATGATTGCATATTCTTATATTATGAATGGTTCATTAGAAAAAAGAAGAAAAAAAGAGACTTGATCATCCAAGAAAAAACTTCTCTCTATTGGCCCATAAACCTCTTACAACTTTATATTCTGATCACATCCGTGTGAAGACCACATGAGTTGTAATACCTTGAAAACGCCGCGATTCCTTCAATTACTTCCGCAACATACATGTCACAAAAGCATGTAGTCCACACCAGACTTCCCCATTTCATTTGAAACCTTGTCATCATACTCCGGTTCTTCCAAGATGCCTTTTGGATCGAACAAGCAACAGTGTCTCTATCGACTCTGCCATCTTTCATTCTCCATCCACCAAGTGGAAGAACCTCTCCCTTACTCTCAAACTCCACAACCCTCCTCAATCCCTTGAGAGCATCTTTCTCATAGCTCAATAAAGGAGGGTTCTTAGTATTCTCCCGTTATCGATCAGCTCGAAACATTCAGGATATAGTCTGTGTTCATGCAGTGGAGACACAGATGCAGAGTGTTCTTTGAGGCTGCTATCCACCTCAACCAAACTTTGATCGACATAGTCTGTGTTCTCAAGATTTGAGATGCCATTCAGTGAACTAAATTCTGCATCAACCTCAAGTTGATTCAGTTGTTCTTCAGCTTGAATAATGGTACTGTCACTTTTCTTTGATGAATCATCAGAGAGTGTAACACTAGTCTTGCTTATCACATCAGCTTGAGTAGCTGGTATCAGTAGATTTATGTTAGCCTTTGAACGTAGGCAGTAGTATCCCGGCGTAACATCATCTGAAGCATGTTATCCTCTCAAATTATTGGATATTCTTATATCATACATGGTTCAACAGAAGGAAAAAGATACATAAACCTAATCATCGAGGACCTGCCTCTCTCCATCCATCAGAATCAGGATAGGAAGAAAGAAGAATCATTGAGAACTTTATCTTCTGATCACTGCTGTCTGAAGTCCACATAAGCTGCATGTCAAAGAAGTATGCATGCAGTCCCCCACCAAACTGCCCCATCTTATTTGAAACCTTGTCATCATCTTCCACATCACTACTCCAGTTCTTCAAGATGCCCTTTGGATCAGATAAGTAACAGTCTCCATCAACTCTTCCATCTTTAATTCCCCATGCGGCAAGTGGAAGAACCTCTAAAGGGGTTACACTTCATATGTCACGCACAGGACCATCAACTTACGTATACCAGATGCCATACAAACTTGACCTACAATGTACTACTAATACGTAAGACACCAGTTTGCAGGATTACATCGAGATCGGTACATTCATTTTACGTATGTAACACGATGGATGATGTTATCTGTGCTTGCAGGTATAACACATTTAATTTTACTGTGAAAGGAATGATCGCCGGAGGAGAAGTCGTCGCAGGAAGCATTGGATGGATGTTGTCTAAGGTCAAGTGCATTGGTTTGGTACTCCGCCATGTGCAAGCACGGTTCATGGTAGGGTAAGGATGTTGACGTTGTCTGGGTTGACCCCCTTCAATCGTTGGATGGCTCTTACTAGCTGTTTAGCTTCTTTATATATACAGTCCATCTTTATAGAGTCTTGGTGGTGCTAACACAGTTGCATTCAGATTGAGCTTTGAAGGCAGGATGAAGATTTAGACTCTCGGAAGTAGGTGATCGATTAGCTTCTTTCTCGAGGCTTGATGCAAGTAAGAAATGGGTAGCTAGTGTTGCAGAGATTTGAGGTCAAGGAAGTCGGCAAAGATGTGTGATGATATATATGGTGGCAATGTAGAGAGTTCTTCCGAGTTCTGTGAGTGGGGCAGTCGTTGCTGTGGAGTGTCTGCAAAGGCAAGGAAAGAGGAGCTGTCAGAAAGCAGTGTTCAGATGCAGATCTTTGAAGCCTCTCGATGCAAGTTAAATTGGTTTTACGGTTTATCCGGAACTCAATGAGCAGTAGGAGTACATCATCAGCTTCTTAGGTTAGGAATAATCAATTAATTTTTTGTACTATAAAAATATGGGCACACTCTGAGTATGTTTATGAAAAATTTGTTGTCATGTTAGGAGAAGTTTATGGGCATCCGTACCACCAACTCTTGTGCATGACGACATTTAAACGAACACGTATTGTGATGTATATTGACCCCATGCATGCACAAGAAGTATCACGTAGGAGGATGAGTAGATCACCACGTAATCTACGTCACAACAGCATTTATGCATTCCACAACGAGTGCATTCAGCCCATCACAATATTATAAGTTTATGCCTTAATCAATGAGACTAAATGTTACCTTTAACATCAACTACAGGTCTTTTTGTTGTTGTTATTAGTATCCTTATAAAAGGATAAACTTCATCAAAAGACACAATATCCGGAAGAAGGATTAATTATATAATATTATCCTATGTAATTTTTATACTTACGTTGAAAGTAAAATATTTAATCTCATTTTTCCTCACGTTATCGATTCTATTAACGAAAATATCATAGGGTTTATCACTGAGCATATACGATATTTCTAATAATAGAATAGATGGTGTGAGGAGAGACAAAGTTAAATATTTTATTTTCGTAAGCATAAGGATTCCAATATAACTTTTGAAAATGTAGAGGTCGAAATACTAAATATAGGAAAAAATATGGAGAATCAACAAAACACAAACCCAAATAAAATAATGATACAAGGTTAAGGTGAAAAATTAAAAATTAAAAATATAAAAATATATTTAAAATTTTTTAATTATCCCATGTTTAAACCTAATGCCTCTTATACATCCTCTTTGTAAGATAATACCAAGTGTTCTTTATTTTGAAGAATTATATCTTGAACATATGAGGTAAAGTATCTTGATGCAATAATAATAATAATAATAATACACAGAATCAATAAGAAAAAGAATCAACAAAAGCTTTAAGAATTGAGAAAATAAATAAAATTTTTAAAAGTGATTCTTTCTTGAATAAATATAAGCCCTAAACTATTATTCTCTCAATCCCCCTAAACTTATAAGACAGAAATTTCAAGAGCACTTTGAGATTTTTTTTTTTTGTCATCTTCCTCCATACAACAATCAAAATCAAATTTCCAAAGATTTATTTGCATCCTTAATAAACCAAAGATTTATTTCCAAAGATTTATGTTATAAGTCAAATACATAAATAGATAAATGCCGAGTGTCTTTTGTTGACAAGACCATTACACACTGCAAGAAGGAATTCGACCGAGTTGGGGGAGATGGAGCACGCGTAGACATCTCCCCACCACCGCCACCCCAACCGCCTGTCACTTCATCTTCTTCCCCTTTGTTTAGCCTATCCAAACAATTATATTACGCGATATTCCTTATCTGGAGATTCCAGACAACGCAACGAGGCCCTGTGAAGTGGCTCAGCCAATGGCATCTTGACACCAAGATCAAGCTAGGGTTTGGCTCTTCTTCGTGTTTTTGTTTTTGTTTCTTCTGCCAAAGCTGGATTCCTGTTCTTCTTCTCTGATGTATATCTTCAGCCTTTCAATATTATTATCTGCAACCGTCGACTTATCTGCCTGCTCTCCCCCATTCCTCCAATGAGTCCTGCAGCTCGAGGATTGCAATGGTATTATTACTTTGGATATTGTTCGTTCGTCGGCCACAGTGTTCCTTTTGTCTTACATCATATCATACCGAAACTCTAATATCTTGATTGAATCTCGTGTGGATAATGATTTAGATTGACTTGCAAATCTAAAGCCTGAACCAACTCGATTAGAGAACGAACTAATGATCCCCCCGCGAGACACAAACTTACATGAACACAAGTTGCTTTCCGCTCTATAACTCAAGAAAAGGAACTAATTATCCTCACGAGACACGAACTCACACGAAACTCTTACTGTTTAACGTGTTATTTATTCGTTACCTTCCCCGCTCTGACCTCTCCCTGAACTCTCATCAAAAATAAATCCAATGAAATCAGACACAAATCAAACTCGAGACTTGCATGCTGCCTTTCAATCATCCGTGGAGTTGCCTGCATTTGTCTTCTGCCAATTTCGCTATGGATCTCTACCCTAGTGGAGCAACTGATTCCCTGTCTTCTCTATGGCACACCTACAGATGAAAGCTCTTCAAAAGAAAGGGACAATGATCCAAAAAACCACCGAAAAACCCAATGAAAGATCACCGGCCTAGAGAACTACAACAAATAATTGGCTTATGAGTTCCTCCTCCACCAGATGAAATGAACACTCAGTCGGATTATACGGCTGGGCATTAAAGCCGATTCGATATTGGCCGTTGACCATCGGACTAGCCCATCATACAATGAATTTGATCTCGAGTTATGTTAGTCATTCATTCATGAGAACATCGAGCATTAAGTTGTTGTGGAGATTATAATAGTGTGATTTAATCGAGTAAAAAATTGGATTGATTTACGAGTGCTCGATAAGCATACTACTCCTAAAATGATTCGGATTTAATAAGTTAATATAAATTCAATTATTTCATCATATCGAATTCGACATATAGTTATTTTAAGCATATTTGTGTGGTAAGCGTTCTTTGTCGAAGCTTTGGCTTTTTCCTTGCTGTGCTCAGCCCACTAAGTGGACTTTCTGTTTCGGCTAATATGTATTTTATGATGGCTTTGCTTGAAAAAGATAAGCTTGTAAATGAGTTCTTTTAGCTGTCAGATTCACATCATGAATGAGACTTAAAGACTTAATAATGGATTAATGTCTGGAGTCAATACAAAGCATCAAAGGAAGATATCAAAGTTTTGTGTGGTTATTATATTGTCATCCTAAGGAATCATGCACTATTATATCAGCAAGGTACAATCGAAACAGTACTGATCCATTAAAATTATCAGGTAATTATGTAGATTAAGTCATCTTACCATCAACAAAAAAAAAACAAGCTAAAAAATTAAATTCTTTTGAACAACAGTTGTGCACACCAGCTTGATCATTACTGTTTCTGATTAGAACAAAGTCTTACATACAATTATATTATGCTAATCAATGCAACAATATCCTGATATAGTATTAATCTTGACTAGACAACATATAGTGTCATGATAGGGTTTGTCTTTCTTCTTTCATGTCCTAATTATATATGATAATATATGAGAGAAGCTCTAGGATCATGGAAGTATATATTTGTCAAGTTTTCCACCATGTTATTTGCCTCCTAATGGTGGTGGTCTTGATTCCCACAGCAGTAAACCATGGTTAGCAGTTCTTTTCAAGGGTTGTGTCAACTTGGTTTGACATCATCATATTGGCAAATGAGTGGAAAGTTAATGGTGACAAAACAATGAAAGAAAATGGCTGGAGGAGATTTTACATGACAAGACAAAAAAAAAAAAGGAAAGATAGTGTTGCATTTTGTGTTCAAACTTGTGGAGAGGTTTCATTATTCCAAACAAATTATGATGATGACCATATCAATAATATATTCTTATCAAAGTGCACCAATTCTAGTTAGTAAAAATTCTCAAGTTGGTGTTTTGTCCTTTATTTCTTCTAAGAAAACACTGTTTAAGAAGATGGTGATAGCTTATATATTATTTCATTCTGATATCAAACAATAACTAAGAAATCATACCTAAAAAACAGCAGCAATGTCATTGTCTAACTTTTACCCTTATATTTTATTTATAATGAATGAATGGGATTCCTCACCCCAGGAACATTTAGATTAATGTGCCTCATACGTAATCAAGCACCAAATTGTGGGGATTGTGGCTTCTTTGGTGAGACATTGAAAAGAAATTATTAGTAGTAGGAGTTCAACATAAGCGATTGGAATCCAAGTAGGTCATTAAGGATGTTCCTATAATTAATGTGAGTGGTTGTAGGGTGAAAATAATACCAAATAAGATTATTTAATAGCTTAATCATTTAAACCAAGTTAAGATCTACTTATTTATCTTCTTAATTCAAATGAATGCTGATAATTTCATTTGTAATCGTTGCTAGTTTGACTCTTTGCCTAAAAAGTAATAAAGAATTAAATCGAGTATAGGTGTTTAAATCAGTTTGATTAAAATAAAAATAGGTTTAAAATAAATCGAAATCGATTGAGAATCAATCGGTTTTAAATTGAATAATTTAAATATCCTCCATCGAAATCATTTATGCCACTAACTATTAATGAATGGGTTTGAACCGAATCGATTCGGTTCAGTTCGACCTTTCAGTTGGTGGATTGGAACAGCGGCGGACCAGTTGCTTTACTGCTGCCACGTGGCTTTCCAAACCCATCAATTAGTACTACGCTTTCGACTGTTATTATTTTAATCCCTCCCTTAATTAAGTTCAATGTCACGAAGACACCCGCCGACGTCATCGTCGCCCTCCTGTCACGTGCCGACGCGTAACCGTGAGTTATAAATACCGACCGCTGGTTCGGCCCAAGTCGAGCTCGTCGTCCTTCTTCCCCGACTCCGTCTCCGTCTCCGTCTCCGTCTCCGATCCGGCTACCGGAGGGGGGAGGGGGCTCCAGTGGAGATGCCGAAGGTTCACCCCAACGCCGCGGCGGCGGCGGCGGAGTCGCCCACGGCCGAGGCTTCCTGCGACGGCCGAGCGAGGGCCGCGGAGGCGACGGCGCTGACGGTGTGGCGGAAGTCGCTGCTCTTTAACGGGAACGGGTTCACGGTGTTCGACTCCAAGGGGAACCTGGTATTCCGAGTCGACAACTACTCCTCGGGGAGCAGCGACGAGATCGTTCTCATGGACGCCGCTGGGAAGCCGCTGCTCACCATCCGGAAAAAGGTACCGAAACCACTCGATCGATCTAAACGGGGTTTTCTCTCCATGGAGCATTTCTAGCGGTTTCTTCCTTGTTGGATTTGACCCTAATTGCAATCTAGCCAATATTTATGGGTCTTGTTCTTTTCGCGGCACACAAAATTGGAACTTTGGGGCTCAAAATATGATTTTTGATCAAAAAGCTTCTAACATTAGCCTAGTTTTAATGTTATTTCTCAATTTTTTAGTTCCCTCTTTGCATTAAATGGGATTCCTATTGGTAATGTTTTGATCTTTATAAAAGAAAAATTGGAAGAGAGAACGGAATAAGAGGAGCCCCAAATCTCTCTGTTGTAGCAACTAATTCTACTTCAAGCAAGAGACTTTTTTTGAGCTTCTTGGAACTAAAATGATTTTGTTGGATGTGAGAATGCAATTATTCGTTATTATAATGAGAAAATGTTCGTGAGATTGTTCTAAAATGAGAGGATGCAACGATCACGGTGGAGTATAATCCACCAAACACCTTTTATTTCCACAGAACACACTGCAGTTGTGTTTTCCTGAACAAAAGCTAAGGAACAGAGATGATGCTATAGTATCATGAGCTTGTTGGTATGCTGAAGTCAACTCTTTTAGCGGGTGTTCATGATGCAGAAGCTGAGTCTAGGAGACCACTGGCTGGTCTATGATGGTGAGGAGGCCGTCAATCCACGGTTTGCAGTCAAGAAGCACAAGGGCCTCCTCCACTCCACCAAGGCGCTGGCACGAGTGACGGCTCCATGCACCTCCGGCTCCAAGTCGCGCCTCGTATACGACGTCGAGGGCTCCTACTCGCGGCGATGCTGTGTGGTCTACGACGACAGGCGAAGGCAGCTGGCGGAGATCAAGAAGAAGGAGTCTGCCCAAGGCATCGCCCTCGGCCTTGACGTCTTCCGCCTTATCGTGGAGCCAGAGCTCGATGCAGCGTTTGCGATGGCCATGGTGATACTCCTTGAACAGATGTTTGGATCCAGACGGTCACTTCTCGGAGAAGCCTGTGTTTTTATGAGGTTGTGAGAGTGTCTCCAGGGCATCCATCCATCTCATGGGAATTTATTTGTGCTATATATTGGAACAACAATGTGACAAGATGACCAAAAACAACGAGAGAAGAAGAAGAAGAAGATATATCTCTTTTTTGTGCTTCCTCAAGAGCTGATGATGCATGGAAGCATGTTTGAGATTTTGGTGGGTACACCTCAAAAACAGTTGTAGTTTTCATTCAAAGCAAACAAAATTGAAATATGATATGCTTTGTTATCTCTTGACAGTAATCTTTAACTATATAAATTATTCAATGACGACAAGAGATGTATGTAACTTTATCTTAACTATCCGGAACCTTACAATCTTATTGTTGTTGTCGTTGTTGTTATCATCAAATCAAACTTTAGTTATGTAGGTCAAAAAGGTCTTAATATAAGATGATTAGAATGTCGGCCGAACCCAAATTGTCTATTGGTTTGCAGATCTAATAGACAAATAATATGACCAGTACTTTGTTTCTGTTGTTCATACAGGTCAGCATACAAAGATGTCAACTACTGATCCTTTGAAAAAGAAAAGAAAAAACACAAAAACATAAACATAGATTAATAATATACTATCAACATCAATTAATAAATTCAACGTGATGGTTAAATTCTGAAGTATAAGCATAATTTGATTAATTTGAATTCATAATTGACAAAATATGATTTGGTGATAGAAGAAATTGTCATGCTCATTAATTTACAAAAAAACATAAGCTAAAAGTATACCATCAACATCAATTAATAAATTCAAAAAAAAATCTATAATTTATACATAAACCTGTAATAGATTATGTGTTATGACCTCGTATCCCAACAACAGAATAATTATAGGAAATTTCACTAATTTAAACCATAAGGATAATTAGCCTAACTCACATAGAAGCAATATATTTAAAGCAAACAAGCTAATTTAAGATATTATAACAAAGTGCATGTGTTCATGTGTATATATACAAGTCTAGTGGGAGATGAGAAATCTGTAAACCATCTCCACAGTTGGCATTAATCCTACAAGAAAGAACAAAAATAGATAATGCCACATATACAAGCAAAGGATATTGTAGGTGATATACGTCTTATTTTGGCACCAGCAAATGACTATTGTCACCATAATTATTTGAAGTTGACTGATGCAATAACTTCTCTAGTCTAAATATGAAAAAGGACTTCTCATAGTAGATTGTTAAGAACTCAAAGAACATGATAGTAAATTAATTTCACTTATCTAATAAAACATCTAAATTAGAAGATAGAGTCCATCGCAGCATTTTATTACTACATTAGTCAGGCCAAATCTGTTCGTATCAATACGCTCGGTTTAAATGAATCGTAGTTAAATTTACAAGATTGATTGTTCAAATCAATTATGTAATTTTAATGCTCACCTCATAAGAATAATATCTAGATGTACAAGATAGACTCCGTTGCAGTATGTCATTACATGTAGTACGATGATGAGAATTGTTCATATGGTCATGACATTACATACCCGAAGAACCCACCAAAAGAATAGTAATTGAAGAAAAAAGAGCATTAAACATCACATATGCAAGAATAGGCTTCATTGTCAACATCAATTCTGATAGCAACAATCCTCAGCTCATATATATCAAGTTAATCTACTGAAAATTGTTCATATGGTCATGATATTAGATGTCCGAAGAACCACAAAAAGAGTAGACAAAAACAAAGCATTAAACATCAAGATGCACAAGATAGAGCATATCATCACATTTGTTACATCAATATCGAACTTGTCAATGTTCGCCTTACATGAAATCAAGTTAATACTCTGATGAACATTGTTCATGCAGTCATCATATTATGTATCTGGAGAGCCACAAAAGAGAGAAAGAACATGCAGTGTAAAAAGAAAAGCATCAAATATCCAGATATACAAGAAAGATTTAATTGCAGCATGCCACTACACCAGTCGCATCGATTATATATCATATCAATGCTCGCCTTATATGAAATACCCACAAAAAGGCAAAAAGGAAATACACACAACTGGAAAAGAACAAGTGGAGAACCATACATACCACAAATCAGTGCTAGACTCTCTATACCTGGTCAAGGCAAGTCACTTACAGGCACTAGTGGAAGGAACTTACCACTTACCAGCACTATGACTTGTCATTCTGCAAACTATCAAGGCCTTGTCTCAGATGGTCTGCTGCTCCTAAATGTTGAGAGAGAGAAGAATGACCTAGCTGCTGAAAGTAGAGATGGAACAAATATAGGGAAGAGTGTGTGATAGAAGGAATATGCAGGACTTATAAATCGACCATCAACAAAAGTAACGGAGATTTGTTGCATTGACAATTACCTTTTGTTGATGTAGCTGTTGATGAAACATGACCTTCCTGAAATTTGTCAGAACCTGGAGATACTGCTAGAGTTTAGTTGAGCGGCACAAGAATCCACAAAGCACAAGTAAAGGCAAAATAGCACAGTACTACATGAATGTACTTCAATTGGGATAATTCATTAGGCTATCTTAATTCAGTCAACATAACTAAGTTTCTAAGTTTTGGCTGCCTACCAACTCACCAGACTAATCAGACACATGTTTCATAGCAAAATAGGGTAAATATTTGCTTACTAGTTGCTTCCATAATCATTTATAAAGCTACATATTCTAGGTACCTTTTTTTTAAATAGAAATATATAGGTTGTACTACTGACCAGTAGTTCACTATGCTTTCGTGCTGCACACTTCAATTTGTTCTCTTTTTTTTTAACATCTTGAGGAATAAGTCAATATGCCAATTTAAATAAACAACATGTGTTGAACTCTGGGAAGGGCAAATAAAAGGAACATGAGTATCATGAGAATCAAGAGTATGTTATCATTTTTGTACCTGGCAAGACATCATAAACTCCATGATAATCCACTGCCTTCTTGCTTAAATTTCCATCACAACAACTTTCACCAAGCATGGTTTTCTGCTGACTATAGCCCTTGGCATGGAGAGCAGTTTTTCTCGATGCATCCTGATTCTTTTTATTCACAGCTTTGGAATCTTCTGTGTTATCCTCTCCTGAGAATACTGATGGGCTCGCCAAACCAGTCACGTCCGCCTCTCCCTTACTCTTACGGGCAAACATCAAAAGCCTCTTCAATCCCTTGCGAGCAACTCTGTGATAGATCAATGCAGGAGGGTTCTCAGCATTCCCCCATTCAATAATAACTGGTTCAGTACCATCAGCTTGAAGCATTTGATTGAATGGATGTCGGAAATGAGGACTTGACAGAAGAGTCGGTTCATGTGCAGTGGAGACCTTGGCTTTGGACAGGCCAGTATCATATGCAGTGGAAACTTCCTGATGTTCTACTTCTACCCATGCAGCTGATGAGATGCCCATATCCTCATCAGGTTGAATCTCAGAAACAACAACCTCTACAGAGCTTTTGGGGCTGTTATCCACCTCAGCTAAACTTTGATTTACATTTTCTGTCTTTTCAATATTTAAATTGTTATCCAGTGAAGTAACTGAATTCGTATCAACATAATTTGCTTGTTCAGCAAGATCAACCTCCAGCACCTTGGCAGTTGATTCAGTTGTCTCCAGTGTAGGCTCCTCTTCTTCGGCTTGAATAGTAATGTCACTTCTCTTTGATGAAGCAACAGACTGAGTAACTCTAAACTTGGTTCTTACATGGCTAACGCTGGCCTCAAACCCAGTGCCTTTCTTCAAGAAGGGTTTGGCCTCCAAAGGAACAACACTATTCTTCTTCGTGACCTTATTGTTGAAACCTGTCTTTGCCATCAGCGAACCAGAAGCATCTACAGAAGCTGATGGAACTTTTTTTTTCACAGTTTTGTTGGTGATTGTAGCTGTTTTCTGCTTCATTGCTCCTTCACCTCTAACAGTTGTCTTAACATCGGTTTTGGCTTCGTGCTTACCTTTAGGTTGATGCAATGACCTTTCAGGTATGGGGCTGGGTGGAGTTGTAGAAGTAGGCTGGGACTTCCAGTGGCGCAGGGTTGTATTAGCAGTAGACACTCTAGGAGAACTACTAACTGGTTGAGCTCCACTTGCTTTTTGCAATGGTCCTGATGACCATGAACGACGTGTAGTTGGCAATGGTGATGATTTTGGTGAAGCCTTTTTTAATGATGCTGTTTTTGAAACTTCTTTCTTGTGTAACACTGGTGGAGATGAATTTCTTCGGGGTTGTCGAGAATTGCTGGACCAGTCAAGCTTTTTGGTAGTGACTCCATATTTCAAGGCTGTGTCTGCTTTGCTTGGTTTCAGGGTTTCCTGTAACACTTTAAGTTGTGCTTGAATTTCTGAATGTTTCTTGGCATTTTCTGCTCGAATTTTCTTATCCCTTTTCTCCTTATATTGACTGTAGAAACTACATGTCTTCTCACTCAAGCTAGACAGAGATCCACCAGAACCAGCCTTAGGACCTTGGTATTTGGCAGGACTGCTCTCCATCATTTTCATTGACATTTGATTGAGCATAGGTTCTTTCTGCCTGCTCTCCTCAGCTGATGTAGCTGGTATATCATCAATTTCTTCAGCTTTGGATGTTACCAACTCAGCAGTACTATCCTTTGATGGGGTAATCATCATCTCCATCTTTGTTGACGTAAAGACCCTAGCAGTATCCAATCCAATTGCATCCAAACTGCATGGAGGAATATCAGACTCAACCTTCACGTCAGCCAATTTGTTATTTCCTGCCTCAGGAACCAAATTGGTGTGGTTGCTCTGAGATATGGACTGAGAAGCATTTTCCTGAGGAGTCAGAGAATCGCCCATACCAGCACTCCATCTTCTTAGTACAGTTCTATTGGTACTCAGAGAGACTTCACCTGAAGTTCCCCTTTTCTGAATATCGAGAATTTGATCTTTCTGTTTGCTTTCAAAAAGGCAAATCGCCTCTTGGACGCTCATCCTTATCATTATATTCTCAGGCTTCTTTGCTGGCTTGTCTGGTTCTTCATCTCCACTGTTGTTATCATCAGAATCTCTGATGGCTGTAATTCTTTCCCTAGCGGGAAAGTAATTGAGGCTTTTAATGGTCAGTGCAGTAGACCTCCGAGACCCAGGCCTTCCTATTTGTATTCGTCGCATAGGAGAAGCAGACCTTCTAGCAGTGACAGTTCTTATAACAGGTTCGCTTCTTTCAGTAAAAGTCTGATCTTCATCACTACACTCAGTGGAGTTCTCACTTTCTGTTGAGCTCTGCCACTCATCTTGTGCAATTTTGACTGGGGAGATTTAAATGTTCTCAGAGTTTGCTTCACTGAACTCTGGACTTAAGGAATATACCTCCTCTGTAATGTCCTCGGGGGTGTTCCTTGTATCATCTAAGATCATTTTTTCAAATGACCATTCAACCAGTTGGCCTTCTGGGATCTACGATAGGTACTTTGACAGAATCCCTGGACTCGGTAAACAAACGGGATGATTAAAAATCCACAGAGTGACAAAAAAAAAAAAATTAAGTTGCAAATGGAACAGGAATTATGTATGAAGTCCAGAACACATTGATAATTCATAGAAAAAAAGGAATCAAAGTCTTGAACTTGCAGAACTAGTGCTTCTTGAATCTACCAGATTAAAAAACATAGATGCAAACATCAAAGGAATACAAAATGCTTATGTCATCAACTTATGGTAAATTTCTTAAAAGAATGCACATAGTAGACAAGACCAGCAAGAGCTTAAGTGCCCATAGAAGAACTCTGATGTACCTCCTGTATTTGATAGCAGAATAGATTATTACTTATCAAAAAATTCAGATGTAAGCAGCCTAGACAACCATCTAGGCAGATTGCAGGTTGGAAACAGCAAGCAGAATGGCTGTTCAGTATTCAGAGTTTGAAAACAGAGGGAGAAAACAGGGAAAAAAAGGATTGTTCTATGGAAGTAGGAAAAGGTGATGAGAAGGAAAAAAGAGAGACAGCAGACAGATTTCTTTAATCTTTATCCACATTATTACAGTCCTTAACATTAGGACAAAAAATTGTTTGCAAAGCAAGAAGGTTGTTAACAGGATCAACCAAAGGCATTACCATTTACACACATATTGAGAAGCAAATGGAGCAGCTAATCGGTTGTTACGATGAGAAGGGGCTCATTAATTTTGCATTTCCAACTGAGATGTCAAACGAGATATTCATTGAGCCCCATAAGACTGAGATATCCAAGCCATATGGTCATCAACTGGGCCACAAAATTTCTTTAAAAGAGAAAGAATGAGAAAAGAGAAACAAAACATTTTTGGTTTGAAGTCAGCAGGATTTGGAAAATAAATAAGGTAGTCTCTTTGCAACAACAATAAACTGTTGTATTCCACCAACTATATGGCGTCTACATATGGATCTTTTGCTACCACTGAACTCTATAAAAATTAATATCCTTAGTTAAATTAACAATATTTAAATCTTTATTTATAGTTTTTTGTAAAGTTTTCATAGACCTCCATGTGTCTCTACTCATACTACAATCTACAAGTCTTATTAACATATGTGCATATCATCTTAAACAATTTTTTCTCATTTTATTCTCAGTCAAAGTCACACACATAATTATTCACGAAATAAAAAAAAAAAATCTTTCCTACAAATTCTACACATCTATCTCATCATTCTTGTCTCTGCAATAATCTTTTTTTGTATATGTCAAAAATAATATCTTTGCAGTATGAAAAAAAAAGAAAACAAAGCAGTGTAAGAAAGTTTCTTGTTTTCTGCCAAAGTATCACAGCAAGCACACTTCTCAAGGAAGTATTTAATCAAACAAATGCACCCTAAACTAATTGAGACACTCCTGATACTACACAAGAAGCAATATACTAAACCCACCATCTACAAAAGCAGAACTGCTTCAGATTAGAAAAAGAAGTCAACGTTTTTCATCAAGCCAAATAAGGCATCGGATGCGCTGAACTTCCAAGTGCATGGGATCATCGATCACCTCAAGTACATAAACTTCCAGACAAGAGAAGAAAAATGAAATATATCTGATTCACGAACAAGAAACTTGATTCAAGCTCAAGCATGCACGACCAAAAGATATCTGTATAGCATAAGTTCTTTCATTGCAAAAGGAACCGATTCAAGCTCAAGCAACTTTAAACTACACAAATGTTTAATTCAAGCCCATCAACGCCAACGCATGCACAACCGAAACGCCGCACTATCTAAACTAATAAACTACATCTCCAATGAAAATATCATATAAGACAAAATCAAAGCCCTAATTGTAGAACACATTGCCGAATTCTGCCAAGAGCAAGGACCAAGATGGAATCTTTGGCCGAAAACGAATCCGAATACCGATCAAAATGCAATCACATCCATCAAAGCGCACTCCAACAAGAGCGAGACAGAAACCACACGATCCCAGATTACCAGATCCTACCGGAGAAACCCCCCCCTCGCCGGTCGCTTTCTGTGACGGAGTGAGGTCGAGGGAGCCCCAAAGGCACTCCGAGCGCGACATTTGTACAAACCAAATTGGCAATATTTACAAAAATGCCACCGACATTAGAAACGCTGTTTTCTCGCCATTATATAACGGGAATTATTGTGTTCACCGACACGTCGCCGTCACGCGAAAGCGACGGTTACGGAGGGTATCCTGTACCGGTGGCCGCTAGCTGTTTGTAAAAATGACACATGATTGTTCTGAAACAATAAGAACACTGTTAAGGACTCCACGAGAAACCTGCCATCTTGCGTGGGACCACCGGACCACCAAGTAGAACGAAGGAGAAAATATTGACCAATTAGAAATTTTTTGAGAAAAAATTGAATCCAATCTAATATTAATATTAGATTTTTTTTTAGAAAAAAAAACACGTGCAATGCATACAACTATAGAGAAAGATAACTACCATAAATAATAAAAATTTAAATTTTTTTATTAAAATAAGATCAAATTTTGAACTTTGGTGAGAATGTGAAATTGTCTATTTTGGTGAGAATGTCAAATTAAGATAATGGACCATTTGGTCGCGACCCGTAGGCTCACGAGAAATTGTCTATTTTGAATGATAGGTACGATAGGTGTTTTCATATAGTTTTAAATTTTAGAGCTCGTAAGCTCTAAAAGGCGCCTTTAAGAATAAGGGAGACCCGATGAACTTATGAGCTATTGATTTTCATATTCCTTAACTAATGTTAGATTAAATGATTTTATCAGTGCTCCCTCCGTATGAGAGCTAATGGCTCATAGCTAAGGTGCAGGCCTTGGGCCCTCCGTATAACACAAATCTGATAAGGGATAATTTGGGCGATCGGTTATTGGTGCCCGTAGGCTCGTGAGGAAGGAATTGTCTACTTTAGGCGGTGGGTGTACCCGCACGAATCATAAATCATGAAAATTTGAAGTTTTTTTTTTATGAAGTAAGGTCAATTTTTTAATTTTGGTGAGAATGTGATAATCTCATCCAAGAAAAGATGGTGCTCGGTGATAAGGGCCCAATTTGATCAGCCAACTATTGGTGTGGCCTAAAGACTCATGAGTAATTGTTCGCTTTGGGTAATGGGTATGCCTGCATGATTGCTTGTGAGCTTTACAAAACACATTTGAAGGTAAGAAAGACCTTATGAACTTATGAGCACTTAGTTCATATACTCCTTAACTAATGTAGAACTAAATGGTCTTATCGGGAGCCAAAGGCTTATACCCAAAGTGCAGGTCTTGGGCCCTCCTTCTAGCACCCCTACGGGCTCATAGCCAAGATACATGGCTCATGAGCATGTTTGCCCGGTCGAGGTACAGGTCTTGGGCTCTCCTTCTAGCACCAATGGACTATTTGATCAGTTGATTATTGGTGTGGTAGGCTCTCCTATCACACTATTTTATTTTTTTGGGACTCATGAACTTTACAAAACACTTTTGAGGGTAAGAAAAAGAGATCCGATGGAATAATGAGTCGTTGGTTCTCATACTCCTCAACTAACATGGGACTAAATGACTATACGATTTTATTCTTTCAAAATTTGTAAGCTCTAAAAAGGCACATTTAAAGATAAAGAAGCCTCGATGAATTTATGAGTCCTTCGTTCCCATATTACTTGATCAATTTGGGACCAAATGATCTTATCATCCGTCAACAATTATATGTTTATCAAGAGAATGGTTTGCTATATACTGCTCTGGTTACTGCATAATTTACTCATGCATTCAGACAAATGCAGCAATTGTCATCATAATAAGCAAAATTTGAGGGAGTTGATGATAAATCTCAAGTCACAACCGGATTCTATTCATTAGTCAACTGTCCTCTATTTAAAAGTGGATGTGGGTTCTTAGTGTTGGCAAGGACAAGTGACAAACAAATAAAATAGAGTTGATGTTGATACCTAGTGTTGGCAAGGACAAGGCACACACCGATTCGAACAGAAATGACAATTTAGTGATAGCTCAGTAGGCTGCTGATGTTTGCTAAAATTTATACTAGTCAAGTACGAGAAGAGACTCAAAAGGTGTCTTGTTTATCAAATACTATTACTATAAGCCCAAGAAACTCTAAGCTACATATATATATAGTGTACAAAGCTCCTCTCAATGCCAAGCTAGAGAAAGGTTAACGTATGCAATTTTATCCCAGTAAGTGAAGAAATTGTTTTTGCAGCTCAAACTCTGGTCATCCAGCTGAACAACACTATTGCGACACCAAAACTTATTCTAAAATGCAAATATTTTATCATTATTCCTTTTCGAACAAAGTTTTGCAACTAGGCTGTATGTATTGATAAAACTATGTACAATTGAGATACTTGGATATGAGCATAGGCTATAAGAACAAAAAGCCCACAGCTTGTTGACAATATTTTTTAGGATTGAGAGAATTGGCAGGAAGAGAAAAGAGGAGAGACAACCATTGTCTTTGATTATTTTAGAAGATTAGCAGAGAAACTAAGACAAAACTTGAGGAAAGGTGCGGTCGTTTCTTTTTCTTTGTCCAAACAAGAGGTTTACTTTTCCTGTCACTTATTTATTTGCTTCCTTTTCTTTATCCTACACATCCTTATACTCATTAGAGAATGTTTCGATCAGAAAGTATTTCCTGCCTTTATGGATCAGAATAAGAACAGCCTTTCACTTTCCTTTGAAGTAAACAGATTTATATGCTAACATTGAAAAATATAACAAAGAAGAGGATGAAAATAAATAATAAACACAAGATCAAGAATATTATAAGAAATATTTTTAGACTTGAAACATATATAAATACTTTCTTAAAAATGATATTTACATCTTCT